AAAAAGGCAGCTGACGGTCCGTTACACACCACAATAAAATGGCGTGGCAGAACGGAAAAATCGCACGATTGTGGAGATGGCGAGAAGTATGCTCAAAGCAAAGAAGCTACCCAACAACTTATGGGCAGAAGCGGTCAATACAACAATTTACATCCTCAATAGATCACCAACCAAAGCAGTTCGGAACAAGACACCGATACATGCGTGGCACCACAGGAGGCCACAGGTGGATCACCTCAAAGTCTTTGGGTGCATAGCTTATGCACATATTTCTACCCCAAACCAAGACAAGTTTGACCAAAAGGGTGAGAAGCTGATTTTCACCGGCTACAGTGATGAATCCAAAGGCTATCGTCTTTACAACCCAGTAAAGAACGAAGTGGTGGTTTCCCGAGATGTGATCTTTGATGAGATGAAAGAGTGGAATTGGGAAAATCCAATTTCTCAATCTCCACCAAGTTATGAAATTCTGGAGGACTCAGCAACTCCAGAAGACCCCAGCAACGACCCAGATCCAGTTGCTAGTCCAGAAAGAAATTCTGCACCTAGCCCAGAAGGAGACAACTTCAGAGACGTCGTAACAGACTCGGATTCACCTCCGTTGAGAACAAGGTCTTTGCGAGAAATTTATGAAACAAGTCATGTTGCATATTTTTCTTGTGAGCCTCAAGTCTTTGAAGAAGCAGCCAAAGATGAAGTTTGGAATGTGGCGATGGATGCAGAAATTTCCATGATCGAGAAAAACAAGACATGGGAGCTTGTTGATCAACCGGAGGGCAAGCCGGTTATAGGTCTCAAATGGATCTATAAAATCAAATTCAATGAAGATGGTACTATCCAGAAGTACAAAGCTCGACTGGTGGCAAAGGGCTATTCACAACAGCCCGGTATTGATTTTCACGAGACATATGCACCAGTAGCGAGGATGGAGACCATCAGAACAGTTCTCGCTCTAGCTGCTCAACTGGAGTTACCAGTATACCAGCTGGATGTCAAATCAGCATTTCTGAATGGAGAACTGGAAGAAGAAGTCTATGTGGAACAACCACGAGTCTATGAGAAAAAAGGAGAAGAAGACAAAGTCTATCGTCTCCGAAAGGCTTTATACGGGCTAAAGCAAGCACCGAGAGCGTGGAACGGCAGAACCGATCGATATTTTCAGCAGAATGGATTTCAAAGAAGTCCGAGTGAAGCATCTCTCTACATAAAAAAAGGGAGAAGGAAAAGATTTTCTAATGGTTTGTTTGTATGTTGATGACTTGATTTACACAGGTACAAATCAACATATGATCGAAGAATTCAAAAGTACCATGATAAAAGAATTCGAAATGACGGACTTGGGAGTCATGAAATATTTTCTTGGGATCCAAGTGACGCAGTCACCTGGAGAAATATTTATTTCACAGGAGAAGTACACCGAAGATATGTTGAAAAGATTTCACATGGCAACGTGCAAACCAATCTCAACACCGATGGCGTTAAACGAGAAATTACAACGCAATGATGGAGCTGAAAAAGTCGATGGAAAGCTGTACAGAAGTCTTGTCGGGTCACTCATTTACCTGACACATACCAGGCCGGATATATGTCATTCAGTAAGTCTTATATCAAGATTTATGAATGAACCTAGCAAACTTCAATTTGCAGCAGCCAAAAGAATTTTGCGGTATCTTCAAGGTACTAAAAAATTGGGCCTGACATACAAGAAAGAAGCAGAAAGCAAGCTGACTGGATATACCGATAGTGACTGGGCAGGATCACTGGATGATCGAAAAAGCACATCGGGGTACATATTCTGCCTGGGTTCAAAACCCATTTCCTGGAGTTCAAAGAAGCAGAAGACCGTGGCATTATCCTCAGCGGAAGCAGAATATATCGCAGCTACAGATGCAGCATGCGAAGCGGTATGGCTAAAAAGATTAATTTCTGATTTGCAGCAATGTGAAAATGGTCCAACCATTATTCACTGTGACAACATGTCAGCCATAGCCATGACAAAGAATCCAGTATTTCACGCAAGATCGAAGCATATCGAGTTGCGTCATCATTTCATCTGAGACCTCGTCAACGACGGGCAAATTGTGATGAAATTTATCAACACCGACGACCAGCCAGCAGATATCAGGACAAAGGCGGTAACCCGTGAGAAATTCGAGAAGTTCAAGGAGCTACTCCGAATTACAAATTAAGAGGGGGTGTTGAATGGTAATTTGCAATCAACCTATCACTAAACATCACACATGGTAGGTCTCTATGCTATCAATTTGGATTAATTATCAACTTCAAATCATAATAAATATGGAGTGTCAAATGCAACATGGAGTGTTCTCTATCTCTGCCGTATAAGCTCATCAAAGGAAGCCAAATAATATTGAAGAGACAAAGAAGATTAAATGCATGGAAATAAGTTATATGGGCCAATGGTCAATTATTTCCCCCAACACAGCCACATGCATCGGATGGAGAAGAAGTGATAAGAGTGTTCTTTTTTAATTGAGTTCTATCCCTACAATTATTATGTGTTTCATTATTGATTCCCACTTGTATTTGATTTAGTCTTTCTTTATGCATATATATGTAACCTGCATGGGCATGAAAAATGGTCAGTGAGTGAGACAAAAAGAAAAGAAGTCTCTGCATGTATGTTTTGTAAAAGCAAGAGCCAAAAGTTAAGGCCTTGTTTGGTTAAGTGTATTTCTATACATTGAGTGAATCCTAAATTGACTGATTAAACACCAATTGTTTCCTTTGTCTTGATCCTATTTTCTACTACAATTCCGCTAATCCCCAACATGTTGCACAGCCTATGTGTAGCGGAACGATCGAACCAGGATCAAACAAAGCATCCTCAAAACAATAATTCGTCAGACTCAAGCTCTCAATCTCCTCCACCGGCCACTGCAGCAAATCCGCTCCCGTCCTGCTATCCAACAGCACAGTCCTCGGAATCGTCTGCATTTCACCACATCCAATTCATGCACTGCTTCTAAGCCAACTTAACTCGGCCGATCCGAGAAGGGTAAATTACCTGGAGGGAAGCCCAGCCCTTTTTGAGGTCATCGAATTCATTATCAATCTCATTAATCCAACCCCACACTATTTTCCTCTGCTTCTCTTGACGACAAAACTTCTTGGAAGCATAATACCTTCAATAATCGTACTTCAACCCGATTCCCACGTCCTTCTTCAGGTCATCGTGCGTCCACAAATCCTTCACCGGGTCGTACCTCCCAACCGCGAAATGATCCAACTTGTAACTAGATGACGTGGCTGATGAGTTTTTGTAATTTAATTAATTTTAAAAAAAAATATATTAATTTCTTTTATTTTTTTAGTTTCCACGTCATCTAGTTAACGGTCAAACTTTATAGTTCACTGCCATGTAGGACAAATTTAACGGAGTCTAACGGTCGGTGACTAACGGTGAAATAATTCGTAAAGTTAGTGGCGAATATGAAAGAAAAGCAATTCGAATGGCAAACATGAAATATTTGTATAATTTGAGTTACCAAACGGCCGGCTGTCTACCAGGCCGAAGAAACCTAAAGTGGATTGGTGGACAATTATCTAGAATAAATATGTGATTCTCAGAAACAGAGTGATTGCTTGGTTGATAATAATGAACAGGATCACCACGAGGGATAAACTCAAGCAATGGGGGGAAACTGCTGACTCTTTGTGTGTTTTATGCAGGGCAGAAGATGAGACCCGAGATCACCTTTTCTGCAACTGTTCTTATGCTTTGGATTTCTTTGCAGCAGTCTTTGGCTCTCGTCGGTGGCCAAATGATTGGGATGGCCTTAAGAATTGGATACACAGGAGAAACAAGAAAGAAGGCAGCAAGGGGTTGATCTGGAGTGCGATCTGGTGCTGGTGTGTTAGTGTGGTATGGAAGGAGAGATGCGGTCGGATGTATAAGGGAGAGCAGCGACCAGTAGAAGAGATTATAAGGCGATGGATTGCTGACTTCAACCTTTTTGTCATAGGGAAGCCAGATGTTCGACTAGAAATTCAGAAAATTTCTATTGTATGCAGAATAGGGGTTTTGAGAGTTGTTCTGTTTATTTTTTGAGAACAGAACAGTAGAGCACAACTCTTCATTTGCTGAATCGCTATTCGTCGCCCTAAAATTTAAAAAATTTCGCCCTAAATCGCACTAAATTGACATTTATATCCCTATACCCCATTTCAATCACTAATCCCTAACTCGGATTTGCCGTACAGCCCACCAAAACCGTTCGACCACCGCTGCAATTCCCCAACCCGTCGTCACTTCCATTTCCCCACTCCGCCGACCTGTTGTCGACTGTCGAGAAAGAAAAAGAACCCCACGAGCCGGATTGGGCCGCCGTGGCCAATTCCCTAGCACGCCGACCCGCTGCGACTGTTATTGCTGATATAGGAGGAAGATGAAGCAGGAGGAAGAAGGTACGAGCTGCTGTCGTTCCCCAGCCACCCGCCGACCAGCTCTATCAATAAAGGAATTTAAAATATTGCTTTCCAAACTCTCTCCATTTAGCTGTTCAATTTCGTGTTCGAAGCTCTCTAAACTACCCAGAAGAAGACATTGAAAATCACTCTTCAATTACTGTAGTTTGCCCAATTGACGATTTGATGTGAAGTGTGGTGATAAAGTAGTCTTCTCCGTCCTCCTTCTCGGCAGATTCAGGCAAAGAGTCGTGAATTCATGTTTGGTATAGTTGTATGTGCTTATTTTAGTATTTATATGTTTTGAAAACAAAGACTAAATTAAGGATATTTAAGTCTTTTTAATGAAAGTTAGGGCGATAAATAAGGAGTTTTAGGGCGACAAATAGCAATCCCCTTGGTTTTTTAGGGTCCTGTTTTTCAGGCAGAGCTTAATAAAATTATCGATAATTACCGGGGGGAAAAACGTGTAATTTAAGTCTATCATTTCCCGTTTTTTGAAATAGAATGAACAGCCAAACGATTACACATTAAAGCGTTTCCATATTAACATCATCATCGATCCACAAAAATCACAAATCATAAGGCTGCTTCTCGGTGAACTTAACCTCAATGGGGCTAACGTTCTTTCCAATCGACCTAAAATTCTGCCCCACACCTTCCCTCCCAGGGTTCACCTTCTCCGGATAAACCCCATCCTTGGGATGGAAGTACTGAACCTCACCGTTGGGGAAAATCCTGTAGAACTGGTACTTGATCTTGTACTTGGACCTCAGCCTGGTCCCCAGCGCCAGGCACTGCTCTTTCCTCGCCAGCTTCAGCAGGTTGGAGCCTTCCCTCATGATCGCCGCGCCGCCGGTGGGCATCTCGAAGATCTGCTCCTTGGGGGACTCCCAGGTGATGACGTAGAACTCTTCCACCTGGGCTTTTCTCAGGAGCCCGCCGGTGGAGCCGCTGAAGACGGGGTGGTGGGGTCGAGCTCGGGCGGGGTGAACCCGACTGGGGCCTCCAATTTGGGAGGTGACTCCACGGGGGCGTTGCTGCCCTCGGCGGCGGCGGATCTGAAGAGTTTGAAGGAGGAGGGGGCGGCGGAGGTGGGGATGGAGATGAAGGAGGAGGATTTTGGGTTCCGTGTGGAGAGGGAGTTGGGTTTGAGCGGGGGAGTGAAGAGGGTGGATTGAGTTGCCATGGCTGCCATGGATGTGATTGTGGGATTTGGCTTTGGCTTTGGGGGAGAAGAGGGGAAATGTGATGGAAGGAAGAAGATGGTGGTCCTTTTTGCTGAAACACGGAATCAAGGATGTGGTGGTGGTGAGAGATTGGGGAGGGGCTAAGGGGGCATTTGGATTGGGCCAATTAGAATGGTGGATTTTGATACGCTAGCCTTACCCAAATGGCTCACCTAGTCACCTGTGTGAATTGTGATATCTATTTCTTGGTCAATTGCTGCAGTTGACATGCCACATGTGTAAATGATATTTATTTATTTATTTATTTATTTGTAAATGGGTGCTAAGAGCCACCTATCATTCAATCAACTTTGGTTTGGAAAGCCCATGAATGTCATAAATAGTGTCTTCGACTAGCCAAGTAATATGCATTAAATGATTGGCCCGCGCTTTGCAGCTGTATATTATATGATAAATCTAACCTTTTCTAAGAAGAATCATGTCTTAATTTAAAGTGAAAATTCACTGACGAGTGGAAAAAGTGAAAATAGGGGGATTAGGGTTTTCTAATTCCAAGAGAGAGCTACAATGGAGGTAGGAAAAAAATGACAATGCTAAATGAAATTTTGTATACAATTGCTAATGCTTCAAGCATTCTTGTGTTTCAGCTATAATGTGGCAATTTGAATCCAAATTCAATTGATTGGTTGATTAATAAATTGGACTATGGGAAAATTACCAAGTATTTTAACGTTTATAATTTATTCAAAAATTATTTTTTGCAACCTCAATTTTTGTATGATAACATTTTAGTACTTGACTCTTAAAAATTTTCATGTGGTCCATAAATCCGCTAATTTATAAATCTAATTCATCTCATTTTTATTTGACTCTAGATTGTGTTATTCCAAATTATAAAAACCATGTTTTGGACCCTTTCTTTTAAGTATTTTCCTCTAAAGTATAGGCAAATAAAATGTAATCATTCCCAATTCCAAATCAAACGCCCAATCATGTGAAAGTAAGAAATGATATGCTAAATCCTTTTGGTAGCCGTAAAATCCATGTCTCATTCATAGTTAAACATCATCCAAGTAGTAAATAATGATCTCTATGGCGTTAAACAAAATTAACTTGTTGACGGCTACTGGTTCACCTAGAATGATACCCAAACAAAACTTTCCACACAACAATCTAACATGCAACACCTAGTTAGCATGAACCACTTGGATTGAACGACCAAAAAAAATCAAGAAAGATTCAGCCGAGCACTGGTTTTTGAGAAATAAAGTGAATGGGTATATTGTAATGGAACCCGTAGGGTTCACAATGGCGCAAAGCCTGTATTTATATGCAGAAGAGGATCAACTCCTTCTTCACGAAGAGAAAGGGAAAGTTACCTTTCCAACAGATGTACAACGGTAACAAACAGAAAAACAAACTACCTACCAATCAGAAAGAGACACTTTGCTATATATAGTAAAAACGGAAAGGGGTTGCTGCACTAACATCTACGACACCATTTCTACTCAGCTCCTCCATTGCTTCTGAGGGAAACACGACGTCGTATATGGAGTTCTTCAGTGCTGCAACTATCTTCGACAAGTTCCTTCATTAGCACTGCAGGGTTCCTTCATCGTCACTCCATCATCATCAGTTGATCACCATTACCTTCAATACCCTCTCTCAAGCTGCTGCATACAAGTTCTATATGCTCAGCTTGGAAAGCAAATAATGGAGTCGAAACCTGCTGAGCCCCTTTGTAAACAGATCTGCAATCTGATTCTCAGTATCAAGGTGGCTCAATCCAATAAGCTTTGATTTAAGGAACTGTCTGACCACGTGACAGTCAATCTCTATGTGTTTCGTTCTTTCATGAAACACAGGAGTTTCTGCAATATAGATAGCAGATCGACTGTCACAGAAAAGATTAACAGGTTTAGGGTGATCCACACCAAGTTCTTGCAATAATCTTCTCACCCAAACCACTTCACAGGTAAGCTGAGCAAGAGCCCTGTACTCAGCTTCTGAAGATGATCTAGAAACAGTACTCTGTTTCTTAGATTTCCAAACAATCAATGAAGGTCCAAGTGTGATGCAATATCCAGTAGTAGACCTTTTTGAATTTGGGCAAGATGCCCAATCAGAATCACTATATCCTTGTAAAGTTAGATCTGAGGATGAAGAGTAGAATAATCCCTAACCTGGTGCATTCTTAAGATACTTAAGAATCATATATGCCAATTGTAGATGAGTGGTGGTAGGAGCTGCCTGATATTGGCATAACTGTTGTACAACAAAAGTAATCTCAGGCCTTGTAATGGTTAAGTAATGAAGTCGACCCACAATCCTTCTATACAGACTAGGATCATCAAGAAGTGGACCATCATCAGCTGATAACCTAGTCTTCATATCGATTGGGGTCACAACAGGTTTTGAATCAGCAAAACCTGTATCTGTTAGTAGATCTGTGCAGTATTTCTTCTGACATATATGAAGTCCCTCCCTGGATCTGGCCATCTCCAAGCCAAGGAAGTAGTGAAGAGGGCCAAGATCCCTTAACTTAAACTGATTGCTGAGATGAACACGCAGAGCTTCCATGCTGGCAGAATCATCACCAGCAATTATGATGTCATCTACATACACCAAAAGTATAGAAGTCCCAGCAGCACTATGATGAAGAAACATAGAGTAATCACTATGGGATTGAGTGTATCCAAAAGCTAGAAGCACTGAAGTTAACTTGGCAAACCACTGTCGAGATGCTTGCTTAAGCCCATATAGAGACTTCCTAAGTTTGCAGACATAACCAGGTTGAGTGATTCCTGGTGGAAGTTCCATGTATACTTCCTCCTCAAGTTCTCCATTCAGAAAAGCATTGCTAACATCTAGCTGGAACATGTCCCAATTCTTTGTTGCTGCTACTGCTAACAAGGTTTTAACTGAATTGAGCTTAGCAACTGGTGAGTAAGTATCTAGGAAATCAATTCCATAGATTTGTGTAAACCATTTAGCTACCAGTCTAGCTTTATGTCTTTCTATAGAACCATCAAAAAGGAATTTGATGGCATAAACCCATCTGTTCCCAATCACCTTCTTGTTAACAGGTCTAGGGACAATGTCCCATGTTCTGTTTGCATCCTGAGCTTCTAATTCTGAATCCATTGCCTTCCTCCAGTATTCATACTTAACTGCCTCTTAAAAGAACTGGGAATAGCAGCAGAATCCACAACCATCACATATTTCCTGTACTTAGGACTCAACTGATCATAAGACAAACAAGCAACCATAGGATATATTGGTTTAGAATGTGTGGTCCCTAAATGCATGACATAATCATTATATTTGATGGGTTTAATGTGGTTTCTGGTAGATTTTCTGACTGCTATTAGAATTGAGGATGTATCTGGGGAAGGAGGAACAGAAATAGGTGATGGAGAATGAGAAGAAGTAGAAGTAGAAGGATTGGTAATTGGGCTGTAAGGGTCTGGTGTTGGTAATGGTGAACTTGGAGAAGGTAAGTTGGAGTCAGTTGTAGTAGGAAGTGGTGGATCAAGAATGTGAATAGGATTGTCTGGTATGGGAAAAGGGTCAGGAGAAGGAGGATGAACAGGAGGAATAAAAGGACTAGGAGGGTCAGAATGATTCTCCATAGTAGAAGTAGGTAGGCATGGCAGAATGTTTTCATGGAACACCACATCCCTAGAAATGAAAACTTTCTGCTCTTGTAAGTCTAACAACTTATACCCCTTTATACCATAAGGAAACCCAAGGAACACACATTGTCTAGCTCTAGGAAGAAATTTTGTTCTGTTATGTCCTGATGTACTAGCATAGCATAGACATCCAAACACTTTGAGATTGGATAAGTCAGGGGGAGTGCCATACAAGACTTCATAGGGAGTTTTGTTTGAAATGGCTACAGAAGGTAATCTGTTCATGAGATAGACAGCATGAAGAACAAAATCTGACCAGAATTTAAGAGGTAGGCCAGATTGGAATTTTAAAGCTCTGGCTACATTGAAAATGTTTTGGTGTTTTCTTTCAACTCGAGCATTTTGTTGGGGTGTTTCTACGTAGGACATCTGGTGAAATATACCATATTGTGAGTAGAACTCTAGTATATGAAATTCTGATCCTTGATCAGACCTAATTACTTTGACTTGTTTAGAAAATTGGGTCTGGATCATGATACAGAAGTCTTTCAAAAATTTTCTGGCCTCGCTTTTGAATTTCATAAGATATGTCCATGCACACCTTGATCTATCATCTACAATAGTAAGAAAGTAATGAAAACCATTGTAGCTAGAAGTGGCCAAAGGCCCCCAAATATTAACATGAAGAAGATCAAAAACTTCCTTTGCCACAGACTGGCTGGAAGGGAAAGAAAGACGTTTCTGTTTGGAGAAATGGCAAACATCACAATGATGAAGTGATTCTAAAGCTATACTAGGAATGGTCTTCTGTAATTCCTTAACTCTAGACTCTGATGGGTGTCCCAATCGCCAATGCCAAACATCAAAGGTCTTTGGTGTGAGATTTTGGGTCTTGAGTGTGTTAACATGAATGGAAGTGTCTTCTGTGGTAGGTATAAGTTGATATAGACCTCTAGTCTCTTGGGCAAAACCAATCATCTTCTTGGTTAGAAAGTCCTGGATAGAACAAATGGTGGATTTGAAAATGAGTGAGATAGGTAAGGATTGAGTCGGTTTACTTACTGAAACAAGGTTAAAGGAAAAAGTGGGAACAAACAGGACATTATGGATGACTAGGTTAGGTGCCAATCTAACACTGCCAGAATGGGTTGCCGGTGTTCTAGTTCCATTTGGTAAAGTGATGAAAACATTCACTATGGGCCGATGTTTAATGAAACTAGAAATAGAACAAGTAACATGATCTGTTGCCCCTGTATCTAGGAACCACACATTAACCAATTCTAATGGATGTTGTTGATAATATGAAGTCAATGTGAATTTACCTGCATAGTTTGGGCTAACAGATAAATGCATGCTCACAGAATTCACCAGTGGAGTTTGATTCTGCTGGCCACTTGCGTCAGGTGATGGAGGTCCATTAGATGACCCAAACTGAGATAGGATACTTTGAAGTCTGCTGACATCCTCATTTGACAACCTCAAATTGGTAAACCCATCTCCAGATTCAGTGGCAGCTCTTGTTTCTAGCTTAGGTAGAAT